CACCACACTGCACCGCACCACACCACACCACACCACACTGCACCACACCACACTGCACCACACCACACTGCACCACACCACACTGACACACCACACCACACTGCACCACACCACACTGCACCACACCACACTGCACCACACCACACTGCACCACACCACACTGCACCACACACTGCACCACACCACACTGCACCACACCACACCACACCACACTGCACACCACACCACTCACACTGCACCACACCACACTGCACCACACCACACTGCACCACACCACACTGCACCACACCACACTGCACCACACCACACTGCACCACACCACACTGCACCACACCACACTGCACCACACCACACTACACCACACCACACTGCACCACACCACACTGCACCACACCACACCACTAGGTCACCCTCGACAGGTACTTCTCGTGGCTACTATTATCACAGCTTCCCACAACCTTATTCTCTCCCTTGATGATACTCGGTCTATCCTCCTAAGGGGTTTAATTACACGTAACTTGTTAGCGTTGACGAGTAGTTGAGTTGTTAGTAAAAGATGTCTTGCTGAGGTGTACTGTTGAGAGAGAGAGAGAGAGAGAGAGAGAGAGAGAGAGAGTCTGTCCCTCCCTCCCTCCCTCCCTCCCTCCCATCGTCAGTTTACTCAACCAAGTTTATGGATTTTTGCTGTCGTTTTTTTCTTCGTAAAACTTTTCTTTAAGTCTCCTGATTATTAACATGGTGGAGAAGAGGGTGGAGGGTGGTGGAGAAGAGGGGTGGAGGGTGGTGGAGAAGAGGGGTGGAGGGTGGTGGAGAAGAGGGGTGGAGGGTGGTGAGAGGTGGAGGTAGAGAGAGGGTGGAGGGTGGAGAGGGTGGAGGGGTGGAAGAGAGAGAGACTGTGTGTGTGTTTTGGCATTGTAGTAGTGTGTGTGTGTGTGTGTGTGTGTGTGTACGTATGTGTTGTCGTGTCCCTCTGACGTCATATCCCCGAGAGGTGGTGACCCCTGACCTTTCAACTGATGACGCGGCCTAAATCCTATTATTCCCTGAAACCAAAAACTTGGAATTTAAATTGAAGTGAAGTAAAGTCGTATATGTGAGAGGGAACACACACACGGACCCACCAGTCGGGGGGAGAAAAATAAGTTAAATAAAATTCTAGTTTTTTCTTTTTGAGGGGGCTCGCCTGCCGGACTCTGAACTAGCCTGGCGCTGACACTATTCCGTAATTGGAGGTGAAATGTGTATACCTGTGGAATAAGTCACACACACACACACATATATATATATGATATTTTGAATGTCACACCTTGTATATAAGTTATATATGACTCATTATTGTAAACGAGTCACCTGTTGGGATATAAATTATGATTATATATAAATCACGTATCTAAATTTCGACTTGTAAATCATCACTTAAGTGAGCTAATGTAAGTATTGCTTTTGTGAGTCAATTATATAAATTTTCACTTAATTGTTGGTGATTTAAATGTATCTTTTATGAGGATAGAAATATATATGGCGCTATCACTCACTTCCATTATAATGGTCCCCGGTTCAGTTATTATCACCGTGTTTTAACATAAACTGTAAACACACCAGTCACACGGTGGACAGGGCGGTCGCGAGGTAGAAAGTTGCCAACTCCCGTCAGTCGCACATGTCTGTACACTTTCCCCATATCCGGCTATTCTTTCACTCAAACTTTCTCTCTCAACTTGCAGATGGTGACTAGGTACTCCCCCAGTCTTACTAGGCTTCACCTCAGTGCTTAAGAATAACTCCACGTAATGTCTGTCAAAATAAATAAATAAGTTCTACAAAATAATACATATATAACTTTTAGAGGTGACCTGATTCCATTACATCCTGGCAGATCCCGAACCCTTCCCCTACAAGCCCCGAACCCTCTCTCTACAGGTCCCGAACCCTCCTATTACAGGTCCCGAACCCCCCTCCTACAGGTCCCCAGCCGTCACCGTCCATCCCTGACCAAATATCCTTCCTCTCTCAGACAGGCCTGGTGGCGCTTGACGTTACTGGGGACCTGCCAAGCTTTGTTAACAGGTGAACCTATACAAAGGAATGCTCTCTCTCAATGTACACGTCTCACTCCTTCACTTCATATAATTTGCTCACACGAGTAATGGCCCCTCAAACACTCTCGCCCATTTATCATCTGAGGCCATCATCAACCCCACTGCTTCCATGTTGGGCGCTGCAATGCCTATGCGCTTCACCTTGCAGATGGTGTAAGAGGGTGTCTAATAAACTAGCCTCCGCGCCTCTGTGGGGGGGGTGGCAAATCTGAATGTGAAATCCTCTCGTTTACCTCCAACATGACCTACAAGTAACAGCCTCAGAGACCTAAGTTTTCTCTACCTCTCAGATGTGTTGATACCAAGACCTGTGCTCGCTGTACTTAATAACCGTAGTTGCTGGAGGACCAAAATGTTAAGACAGCAGCAACAACAACAACAGCAGCCTGCCAGCACACTCCAACATTTACTCCACCTTAAGAAACATACCAGTCAGGCTTCTTTCTTTTTGTCTCCTTCATATTGTGTTTATTCTGCCAGGTGTTGAACTCTAGACTCCACTTTATGAAACACTGTGACTCTGTTTTTGTTTTGTTTTACATTTTTATCTTTTCCCTCCCGTCTTTTGCCAAGTGTTCGTAACTTTCTTTTTTATTTCTTAACTTACGATGACAGGAGCTACAGACAGAGAACCGCCCACTCTGCCGCCCCTATCCAAAAATACTGACCACACGACGTGAAGAGAATACAGAAAATAAACAGTACATTTTCTTATTGTAGGATGTACTTTATTGCGCGCCTTCTTCAACGTGGTATCGGAATTGGTGCAAGATGTAGCGAGGAAAAATATATGGGCACGTGAAGTGAATCCCATGTGAGAGATTTCGAATAGACATTGTTTTCAGCTCCTGACCGTGTGTTGTGAGGATCTGAGGAAGTGTCCGTGAAGGTTGTGGTACACAGCTGCTCCTCTACTAGTGTCTGCAGGTCTTGTATCGACCCTCACCAGAGCGGCTTTATCTGAATGCAGCAACATCCCCGGTACAGCTTCCTCTGCTGCCGACTGTCACTTGTTTTATTCATCCCAGCTGATATCTCCGCTCAGTCCTGAAACCCACTACCAAATCCTCGAGCACCGAACCCCTTGTGGAGATAACGGAGCCATATTTCAAAGTAATGAATTATGTGGGGGGTGAGAAGGTTCAACTTATATTCTAAATTAGTTATATTATTAATGATTTCTTTATACAAATATTCGCGATTTTTTTTAGGTATTATTGTTCTTATTAAACACCATCATATCTTTAAATCCACGAGTCAGTACTAATATAAACATGCAATATATTAGTACCCTCACACACACGCACACACTCACACACACACACACACACACACACACACACATAGTTGAACATATCCTGGTGGCCAAAAAATTATCCCCATATCGGTATTAAATTATATTAAGTAATTCTTTCAGACCAAAACTCATATTAGCGTCGACTATACCACTTGAACCTGTCTCCCAGCCTCCATTCACCTCACACACACACACCAGAGTAATGCTCCTCCTTAACATGTCTGTACAACACTGTCTTCTGATGTGAGAACTGTCTGTTTGGGGGGCTGCATTTAGCCAGTCATGAGCCCACCTCTTTTAATCAAGCTGATATTGTGGTTCGCATGTGAGGATTTATTTTTACTGTACGTCCACATGAATTCCTTACCCCACCACAACCTCACATGACCCACAAATTTGACCTCAACCTATGACCTTTCACCTTTGACCTACTTTCTCCAAAAATTAGACCTATCACTTAAACCGCCTGTTAAATTTCATCACAATCGTTCTTCTAGTTTCTGACACACACACACACACACACACACAGGCAAATAAGCAACACGCGTCAGTCATAACCCCTATACGCGTGGGATCAACCGGCACAGGAGAGTGTTGTTATAATCATTGACGGTAAGTATTTACACGTTAGTTTAGCCTATGAACGGACGTTAATTTCATGGCATATTTATTACCGTTTATACCCGGGTCATTTTTTTTATCATTACACGTATTATTATGATACGTTTATGGGAGGCATTACAAGGCCAATATTGTGTGTTAATGTTATTGATATTATCATAGGTACAAGAGCTGACGACAATTATATTAAAGCCAACAGTTAGCCGCCTCTCGTGTGTCCGGTATTAACAAGCTATAACAGGACCTATAATGTCTGTTTTATTGCTGAGTTTTACAGAGAATAATAGGTTTTATGAAGCCTATTAACGCGTGTATTATGTGGGTTTTTTTTATTAATTTGTTGCTTGTGTGTTTTGTTAAATTGCTTTACTCTACCTAATATGATGCTGTTGTTTGTTTGTTTGTTTGTTGTTAAGTTTATTTCACTTATTTTTGTAGAACTTTCTTTGTTGTGTTTTTGTTTTTATAAGTTTAACAGAGTTTAATTAACTATATTTTGTTTTTATTTTTCTCTACAGTAATTAAATAGAATATTGTATTTTGTGTTTTTCTTTTATTTTTTGTTTAATTAGCTACTTTTTTTTAATCATTTATTCTTTGCTTTTGTTTTTGTTACTAACTTAAATGTTTTTGTTGTTTTTGTCAAGTATAATAATAGCTGTGGCTGTAGTTGTTTTAGGTATCAACACAAATGGTTGTAGGTTGTGATTATAGGCACCAACAAAGACATATATTATGTTTGTTGTTTTAGATGTTGTTAGTGATAATTACAGTGTGGTTGTTGTCGTCTCAGTTACCTCAATAACACTTAGGTGGTGTTTCGATATGTGAGACTTCATGACTTACTGGTTTGGCGAGTAACAAAAACACGGTTGAGGTTTTGTTGTTTTTGTTTAGGTTGTTGTTGTTGATGTTGTTGTTTTATTGTTTATTTTTATTAGACATATGCAGTACTAATGTTGTTGTTGTTGTTGTTGTTGTAGGCGGTGTGTGCCAGCGGTGGTCGTGTATGACAGCGGTGTGTGTACCCGGGAGGAGGATGACCCCGCCCACGCTGTTCTGTACTTCCGCCCACGCCACACGCCCACCACCGCCCGCACCTCCCTCGCCGGCCAGCTGGCGGGCGTGGTCCATTTCTGCCGCCACGCCTTCGCCACGCCCACCGTCGTACGGACCAGACACGCCCACGTGGCCCTCAAGGACTACGGCCGCTTTGTTGTGGTGAGTTGATACAGTAACTGTTTTGTGTGTGTGTGTGCGTGTATGTGTATGTATGTGTGTATGTGTATGTATGTGTATGTGTGTATGTATGTGTATATCTGTGTGTGTGTGTGTGTGTGTGTGTTGTAGGTACACACACTCACCACCACAACAACATAAGCCTTAATATTATTAGGCCAGCGCTCGCGGACAACAACAAGGGAGGTAAACATGGCCATCTTTCTCTCACAATTTGGCTGAGAAGCGATGATACGGAGGACAAACCTTCCATTGTTTACTGGTACACACAGCGGCCAGGCCAGGGGAGAGGACGCTTAGGATGGGGAGGTGAGGGGAGGGGAGGTGAGGGGAGGGGAGAGTGAGGGGAGAGTGAGGGGACATACAGAATGGGGAGGTGAGAGGGAAGTGAGGCTAGGGGAGAGGGAGAGAACACAGGGCGGTGAGATTAAGGGGAGGGGAGAAACAGGGAGACTGGGAGAGAAAAAAGAAGTAAACGGGAGATAGAATATGACAAAGGATAGGCAAGGAGACAAGGAAGATGGCGGGGTGAGTAGAGACTGGAGCCAGAGAGAGAGTCACGCTCTCCTGGTTAATGATAGTCTTGATGGTAAATTTAAGTACGTGATGATGACCCAGAGATCAGGTGGTGGTGGGCGTTGGGTGGGCGTGACAGCTGATGAATTAAAGGGACGTGTGTCTCCGCAGATGGTGTGTGGGCGTGGCGGGGAGTGGGCGCGAACGAGGTTGGTGGAGGTGACGCGGCTACTGGATGCATCTACAGGCGGCCTTCCTCACCTGTGGGTCACCTGTGGCTGGGACCAACAGGTCTTCACCGACAGGTAAGACGTTACGTACTGTATGTATGAACAGAAGTGCCTTAAAACAACTACGTCATGTATAAATAAACATTTCCCTAAACTATTTAACGAATTAGAGCACTACTTCATGGTGACATAGTTGCATCTATAATAACTAATACTATATTTAACTTATTATTCCTACATTTACAATATGTAAAACAAATTAAATAACTAAATCGCCAATTAATGCACAGAGACTTTTCGATCATCGTGTCCGAGTACCTTACACCATGCTCATGTCATGACTCAACTCTCTCTAATAATAACACCTTCAGTAAAAATCATAAACTGAGACTCAGTATTGACTTAATACCTCGGCTTCCTCCTCCGTGTACTGATGACATAGTTAAGTCTGGCCTTCAACAAATGACGTGGTAAAACTTGTCAATCGTAAACAAGGTGACGTCATGCCATATATCAAGGTTGTGTAAATAATAGGAACTTGGTGCCAATATCAATACGAGATCTCATTAATTATTCACGCGTTTTATAAATGTTCCTGTCGAGGCTACACATACGTTTATTAATTTAAATAAGAGTTAATGAAACCGTCTGATTTATAGGCAAAAAAACCCAGTTACATTACTTTTCTGTTTTGTGTAAAAACTAAATAATATAATTCATCTATCTTGTAATTCTATATATATATATATCTTCCTTCTGCTTTCTTTTATTTTCCTTGTATATTTATTTTAATATTATTTCTTTATAAATTTATTTGACGTTATAATTAATATCTTGGGTTTAATTGTTTTATTATTTGTCTAGGCATTATTGTCTTTGTTATTTATGGTAATTTTTATGATTTTAAACTTATTGTTCAGAAATCAGTTATTGTCATCACGTTCAATCTTTTCAGTTTCTGTTTTGACAATAATTTAAGTTTCTTCAACATCAGCTGTATGAGAACACAAGAAGCCATTAGTAACATCTTTCCGTCGTCTTTGTTTCTGACGGTGTTTCTGTTTTACTGTCGTTCTCTCCTTTAACAGGTTGACGGAGGTCCTGGATGCCCTACTGCCTCACGCTCTACCAGACGCTGACTTTGGGGAGGACCAAATCCTGGAGTCTTCCCCCAGCACCTCCTCCAGCACCCCCTCCCCCGCCACCGAGGCCTCAGAGGGAGGTGTCTCCAGTGATGGGGGAAGATCAGGTCAGAAGGGAGAGGACCGAGAGGAGGAGGCCTGTACGCTCCTACACAGGATCTTCAACGCTGTTCCCTCCGTCCAGCTGCCCAAGGTGGGAGTCAATAAGGGCATATCAGATGTTGCAGCTGCCTCAACACTGCCTCTACGGTGTTCTATAACTAAGAGCAGTTCATTTTACTGAGAGTTTAATACATATCACCTTTAACACGTACGGAGTTTTCGTAAATATATTCAAAGCAAAACGATACAGCATTACAGTATTTTCACATCAGAGTTGGTGAGCTTCCTTCTGTTAACACCTATGTATATCTTGTATTACGAGACTCACTTTAGACGTCACTAAGTCAAGAGATGTATTTAGTGTTTAATAGATACTGTATATTGTATATTGTGTAAACATTAGAGACTGTATTTCAGTATACGGTATTTCTTGTATAATTTGATTTTTACTTTGGATCTCCCTCACTTGTTCCTTCCCCAGGTCCTACTCCCTCACTTGTTCCTTCCCCAGGTCCTACTCCCTCACCTGTTCCTTCCCCAGGTCCTACTCCCTCACCTGTTCCTTCCCCAGGTCCTCCTCCCTCACTTGTTCCTTCCCCAGGTCCTACTCCCTCACCTGTTCCTTCCCCAGTTCCTACTCCCTCACCTGTTCCTCCCTCACGTCCTCCTCCTCCCTCTCTTGTTCCTTCCCCAGGTCCTACTCCCTCACCTGTTCCTCCCTCACGTCCTCCTCCTCCCTCTCTTGTTCCTTCCCCAGTTCCTACTCCCTCACCTGTTCCTCCCTCACGTCCTCCTCCTCCCTCTCTTGTTCCTTCCCCAGTTCCTACTCCCTCACCTGTTCCTCCCTCACGTCCTCCTCCTCCCTCTCTTGTTCCTTCCCTAGGTCCTCCTCCCTTCCAAGGCCCTCATCTTCCTCCCTCACATGACCGTCATCCATTACTGTTACTCACCATCATGGCCACCTACAGAGCGGGGGCGGCGTGTTCCTGAGGGCGCAGCAGCTGGTGGAGGTGTGTCAGCAGCAGCCAGGGGTCTTAGCCGGTGCCACCATGCATAAAGACAGGTAAGAGAGCAACACGCATACAGAGACTGGCACTTGTATAGGGCTGTTTTTACCTAATAATTATAAGGAAAATGCTGTAGGTGATCCTTAAAACACATGATGCCTCGCGTATTGTCACTTGTTAAGATAATTTATACTACCTACAGTTTAAGTTTTAACTATGTCCTTGTGATCATTGTAACAGTGCAGTGATCTTGGCCTTACTCTTGTCGTTCATTTTTGTCGAAGCTCAAAGTAGAGAGCCTTGAAGGGAGCTTTCAGGGCTGAGGGATGACATGATGATGTTTTTGAGCCTTTGAGGGCACAGATAAGACCAAAAATCACTAGTTTCGTGTCAACTGTGGACCTTTAAGTTTAAGGTGACCTGTAAACAATATACACATTCATCTGGCTTGGGAAGATATACCTTGGCTGTACGTGCATACTCTACTCAGCATCTCACTAACCCAGTTGAATTTTTATACCAGGGATCACTTCAGAGATTCACATTCGAGGTGACGCGAGTGTTCTTTGGTTTTACAGCTCACTATTAACGTCGTCTATCTAAATATTGGTTCAGAAACAGTATCGTTGCTCTTTGAATCTCTTAAATGACTCTTGACTTTTTCACTACGAGACGTCAACTACGAGACTTGGTGAGTTGGCTGCCTCCGTCACCTGAGACGTGACCTACCTGTCCTCACATCAGATGTATTGTAGTCGTCCACCACAGTCCTGTTACCCATACCCAATACCCAGCCTCCCGCACACCACACACCCCTACTCCCACGCCAAACACACGTCCACTGTCACGCCAAACACACGCCCTCTGTCACAACTAACAGAGCATTCGTCATTAAAATCACATAATCCATCGGCGCTACTGTCACAAACGACTGTCAATCACGGTGACATGAACCCTGCCACTCAATCACTGATGACAAATCGTTGTGCACCCCCCCCGCTCCCAGTTACTAGGTGTCGCCGGCTAGGTTATGGATTCCATAATTTTCGGACCCGGACGTGGAACTTAACCCAACCAGAATTAACTTAATCTAACTTAAACAAACCAAACCCCAACGTAACAAAACTAAGCCAGACTACACTGTAACCTAACCTAACCAAACTTAACCAAACTAAATCAAATCAAACATAACTCACTGAAGCCAACTCTTAAGTCACCAACCTTAACCTAACCTAACCTAACTCTCTCCTGTAACCACCTTTCTTTACACGAAAATACAATTGGCTCCCATAAAGGCAGTTAAAGGTCAATCTCTTCTCTTCTTCTTCTTCTTTTCTCCTCCCCCTCCTCCTTCTTATTTTCTTACTCTGTTTACTTTTCCGTCTCTCTCTCTCTCTCTCTCTCTCTCTCTCTCTCTCTCTCTCTCTCTCTCTCTCTCTCTCTCTCTCTCTCTCTCTCTCTCTCACTCAGTCAGCCGACAGGTAGACGACACGAGAGCAAACCAAACAGAACACAGGTATCTTAATCTACCTCTTCCCGGCAGTCCAATTACTCAGGCGGCGGAGTTGTAGACGCAGAGCCACGGCAGAGAGCTCCTCAAGCCTTCTTCAGGAGAATTGCGTCATTTTCTTGAAGAAGGCTTAGGGGTTCGTGCCGCAAATGAGAGCCCCACTGCAAGTATAGAGGCGGGCGAGCGAATATTGTAGTGTAGCTTACATTAACGTGTAATGATGGTTGAGAGCGGAAGAAAGAAGATAGAAGGCAACGTCAGATGATGGTGTTTTGCCTCGTGTTCACGCTGTAGGTAAGGTAGTGGTTCCAGAATCAACAGTTAAGTGGTTCCAGAATCAACAGTTTAGTAGTTCCAGAATCAACAGTTAAGTGGTTCCAGAATCAACAGTTTAGTAGTTCCAGAATCAACAGTTTAGTGGTTCCAGAATCAACAGTTAAGTGGTTCCAGAATCAACAGTTTAGTAGTTCCAGAATCAACAGTTAAGTGGTTCCAGAATCAACAGTTTAGTAGTTCCAGAATCAACAGTTTAGTGGTTCCAGAATCAACAGTTAAGTGGTTCCAGAATCAACAGTTTAGTAGTTCCAGAATCAACAGTTTAGTGGTTCCAGAATCAACAGTTAAGTGGTTCCAGAATCAACAGTTTAGTAGTTCCAGAATCAACAGTTAAGTGGTTCCAGAATCAACAGTTTAGTAGTTCCAGAATCAACAGTTTAGTGGTTCCAGAATCAACAGTTAAGTGGTTCCAGAATCAACAGTTTAGTAGTTCCAGAATCAACAGTTAAGTGGTTCCAGAATCAACAGTTTAGTGGTTCCAGAATCAACAGTTTAGTGGTTCCAGAATCAACAGTTTAGTAGTTCCAGAATCAACAGTTTAGTGGCTCCAGAATCAACAGTTAAGTGGTTCCAGAATCAACAGTTTAGTAGTTCCAGAATCAACAGTTTAGTGGTTCCAGAATCAACAGTTTGGTGGCTCCAGAATCAACAGATTAGTGGTTCCAGAATCAACAGTTAAGTGGTTCCAGAATCAACAGTTTAGTGGTTCCAGAATCAACAGTTTAGTGGTTCCAGAATCAACAGTTAAGTGGTTCCAGAATCAACAGTTTAGTAGTTCCAGAATCAACAGTTTAGTGGTTCCAGAATCAACAGTTTAGTGGCTCCAGAATCAACAGTTTAGTGGTTCCAGAATCAACAGTTTAGTGGTTCCAGAATCAACAGTTTAGTGGTTCCAGAATCAACAGTTTAGTAGTTCCAGAATCAACAGTTTAGTGGCTCCAGAATCAACAGTTTAGTGGTTCCAGAATCAACAGTTTAGTGGTTCCAGAATCAACAGTTTAGTGGTTCCAGAATCAACAGTTTAGTGGTTCCAGAATCAACAGTTTAGTAGTTCCAGAATCAACAGTTCAGTGGTTCCAGAATCAACAGTTTAGTGGTTCCAGAATCAACAGTTTAGTGGTTCCAGAATCAACAGTTTAGTAGTTCCAGAATCAACAGTTCAGTGGTTCCAGAATCAACAGTTTAGTAGTTCCAGAATCAACAGTTTAGTAGTTCCAGAGTCAACAGTTCAGTGGTTCCATAATATCTCTCTTAATGTTTTATTACGGATACCTTGTTCATATAATAGATAACGTGGTTTAAAGACCCTAGTTGTTGACGGCAGTAATACAACACTGCACAACATCAATATCGCTTTATCTAGCTCTCATACACACACCACAGTGTTATGTTGCCAGCACTCGCCACCACTGACTGCAAATCCACTTATAGTGTCCAAAAAGACTGATGTATGAAATAGCTGTCAGTTTGTCGCTTTTTATTATTGTTATTGTGAGAGGTGTGTAGGGGGGGGTGTGTGTGTGTGTGTGTGTGTGTTAACTAATAGTTCCTACACTCCTACAGGATACTCAACTCACAGATGGACAGTGACCTGGCGCACATCCTAGCCTCCCTCCCACTGCACAATCAGAAGGTAAATATAACTAGAGTCTTATACAATCAGTAATAACAATCCAACTCAGAACTGAAGAATCAGACGAAATATTTGGACAAGAGTGAATAGAAGACTAACTATATATGTTAAAAAAAATTTTAATGAGATGTAGGATTGTTGTTGAGGTCTTTGGTAATGTATTGTAATAATCCCTTGTGTTACATTCTTTATCGGGGCGTAGGATTGTTACTCTACAACCTTGTCAGTAGTTGCAGTTTGTAGTTGTTAGTGGTATAATCTTAAAGTATATTGAGCTTATAGTCAGATAGGAATTTACTTCATATTAACTGATTGAAGATATAGATGAAACCTTTTTGTCAATTTTGGACGAGTGAAGTATATTTAAATTATCTGAATAACGTGGCCTTCACCCGGTCCATCGATATCCTCCTTGTGTCTTCCCCACTTGTGACTTATGCCCATGTTTCACTAGTGTTTCACCTTCCATTCTCCCAGTGAAGATATCGCATCAAACTCTTGTAGATTTTTATTCATGTCTTCGTTGTGTTCTATTTGTTAGTGGTCTTGACATAGACTGTGAAGCGATCATGTTGTATTGAAAATTTATATTACTGTATACCTCATGAGTCCAGCCTCTATCTACATGTCTTGTGAGAGATCAAGAGGATTTATATCTAATTATCTTTCTCAGAGCGGAGTGCTTGAGGAGCGTCGGGTGGAGTACCAGCTGCCAGGTGGAGTACAGCTTCTGAAGCTTCATGTACCCGAGGAGACCCACTCCACTCTCCGCGCCAATCTCCCAAAGGTAACCACACGTTCACCTCCCTCACTCCTCACACTCTTGTGCAGCACCTTAGCTTGTAGTGCAGTTTGTTAGCTTTGACTAGGATAGGCGGCCAGTTATAAGTGAGGGACACAGCCGGCCAGCTGCCAGTAAGGAACCAGACAACACCATCGCCACAGTGTCTAGTCCTTCATCGCTTATTAATGTGGATAATTTAAGACTTGAATCCTAACAACTCTGTACAAGTTTGTATAAAATTATATTATAACTTCCATCTTTTGATATCATTGTTAACCATGGTACTAGACGAGCCTAACCTGTACTGTATATAGATCACTCGTCATTGACCATCAGAAGACATTGCTGTGCCTGTTCTCTTAGTCCTTCACAGTAGTTTGTGAAAAAAGTTAGACCCGATTGTTCTTTTTGCTGATGGAACAACAGTTCAAAGGTAAATTTACAGATTGAATAACATTTCAAAAGTTATATTGTCATTCATTGTAACAGTTGCACGGAGGACCTACATTAACATTCAGAATCTTACAGTCGATGCCACGTCGCGGAGAGCGGGGACTACACAGTGAAGCAGCGTCCATGGACCTGGCATCTCTCCGCTCCGTCCTCCAGTCCCGCCAGTCCCTCCATACCTACCCCTCCACTCTACCCGCCGCCATGGACACCCCCTTAGAGAGGTGCTCAAGCCCACAGGAATCACACAAGCTCAGTCAGCATCTACCCAAGGGTCCCAGTCTCTTGAGGAGGATAAGTGGATGTAATGAGCTGGAGTCGCGACCTTCACAGAGCTTACCAGGATCACCCAGGAAGATCCGAGTGGCAGCCACGTTGCCAGACGTAGGTAGCAACTCACCTGACCTACGTTACAAGGTGTTGACAGGACGCAGGCCTCGGCCACCAGCGTCCTCACACTCCACCCCACGGAGGATGCCAGGAGGACGTAATGGAATTCCAAGGAACCTCGACACAGCTAATAATGGCATCAATTTTGGTTCTAAACGTGTCCATGGAGTAGGAGTGTCCAACCTGGCACGTTATAGTGTAGAAAAGAGAAATACTTCCAACAATAAACTACTTAACATCACAGGCGACGTTGCCAAACCCATCCTTAAGAACGGCACTGTGACCACCTCAAAACTGGGCTATGAGTCTGAAAAAAGCGAAAGTGGTTTCGAGGACGGGGTACAGTCTGACAGTGAGCTTAACATAAAAAACACAAAAAATAAGCTGAATTTACAGTTTGCGCCCGACAAGATAAATAGACCAAGTCACGAGATAGAACTTGATGGGTTGAGCAACGACGAACCGAAAATTACCCGAGAGATTAATGGGAATCTCTCCAAAGACTATGACTCAAACGGTAAAGACAGCCCTAATGGTAACCTCATGAGCCTGAAGTCTCAAATGTTGGACTTCAAGGATGAGTCGGACACGTCCAGAAGCGAGGAGTCGGAGATCAGTGTGTTAGACCTGAGTAACTATATTGAGAGTAAAGAGAATGGAGATCGGAAGCTGGCAGAGGCTGTGAGGGGCTTGATGGAGCTAACGACGAGGGACGATGATGACGACAACCTGATGCAGAGTGACCGCTCGTCCGAGAATCACCTCACAGAGTCAGGTGGGTAACAACTGACTCCCTGCAACATGATACTGTAATTAAATACATTACACGTGTTAGTAATATAACTCAAGACAGAAGCAAATTATCATTCCCTACATAAAAATAAGATGATGTCCTCATTTCTGTCATCATAGCGCAGGAAGGAAGAGGGAGGGGGAGGTGGCTTGGTTCAGGGGAGGTTCATAGTATTTTATCAACTCTTTAAGAGAATAGTTTAACTCTTAAAGTGTTTTAATACCACAGTTTGTTTAGTCTTCATTTACACAGCACATAAAGGAGTTAATAATAGTCAGGATTATATGTTGTTTATATCATGGGGAACACAGCAAGGTGGGAAATTTCATAAACTGTTTTGTGTACGTATTATGAAAATACCATATACTGTATAGAGAGTGCAGGCGGAGTTGTAACTGAGTGATATTTGTATCAACAGGTCAGCACGAGGCCAGTGGGTCAGCAGAGGGCTGGGAGATGCTGACCCTGTACACTCAGAAGCACTCCGACACCATCCTCCACCTGCTGCTGTCTCCTTCAGCTTCTAACAACTCTCAGCTCATCTACAACCTGGTTAGTCCATCATACATTGTTATGTCAAAATAGTTAGAAGAATGGATGGTTTACATCATATCATTTTCAAATAATAAAATGTTTCTGGCATTACCTATCAGGCTGGTTTATGTTTCCTCTGATAAACTTAACTATTATATAAAAAAATCTTGTTGTCTGTATTGTTCTTGGCTTATACAGTTGAAGTAGGTTATGTTAGTTGAATTATGGTATCAAGAAATGTCTCTCATATACCCTGAGAAAGAGAAACAGACATAACCCTCAGTACACATGGGTGTTTAATACTGATGGTGTATTGACCAGTGGCGGCTGGGAGTGTCTGGGTTGGAGGACGTACAGGCTGCAGTAGAGCGGGCGATGGAGGTGTCTGAGGCAGGCGATGGCGGGGATGCTTTCCTACAGTGGTCATACAGCGTTCTCTCTGCTGTCACACCAACAGCCCTCAACATGGACCTCATTGCCATGGCTCATCAGGACTTCAAGCACCACCGAGGCCTCATGGAGGTCACCTTGCGGTTGGTAGACTCTTGTTGTTTTTCAACATTTCTTCTCTTGACCAACTGACAAGACTCACCAGGCTTGTGTAGATCTGACAACTGAAACTTTTTTGACCAGGCATATCAAGATTGAATGTTTTCATTGGGATGTTTCCCATTGTATTGCTTCTCTTTTGCAAGTGAAGTTTTAGTATTAGGACGATGATGTGTGGTAGATAGCATGAAGCAGTTGTTCCTTTTGACAGTCTTTCACACGATGCCAAATTGTTTGCTAACACACTATTGGTATCACCACAAGACAATTAGTAGCATAATTATTCTCAAGTACTGGTAATCGTAATCAAACTGTGTAGATAGAAGATTTTTTGCTGTGTAGACATATTACTTAGTCGCAGTTTGTTTAGCATTGAAACTATATTATCTCTCTACAGGTGTGGAGAGGCAGTGCTGTGGGGTCACCGACATAGCAATACAGAGACCTTTTACCAAGTGAACGCAGCACCGCGCCCCGGCCTACCCATACCCTCAGACATCATGGCGAAGGTCCCTCACCGCGCCCGTCGCCGCCTTGACCGAGACCACAACATTACCCTCCTGTAGGTCAGCTGTGCGACGCCTCCCTGGGACTCATCATACTGTCCCTTATCAGCAAGAATCATTCCTCTGCTGACAAATAACGATTTACATTTTGCACTTCCTGAATGCCAAAGACATTCCTCTCCACATTCCGATAATGACCAATGTAAGCTTTTCGTATGTGATAAAGTCAGAAATTATTAGCCTTTGATATATTTCAATACAGTTTCTAAGGAGCTTGTACATCACTGAGTCATCTCTTCGGTAGCTCATTAATGGTTCTTTTCAAGACTGCAGCAGGAAATATTGGTGCCTACCTTCAGCAGCTAACAGAGACTGGTCCCGATACGTGGTGTTGAGATGTTGGTCCCTGAGCTTAACTTGTCTCCGGCAATTAGAAAGAAAGAGAAAAAGAATTGAACCCGTCCTTTATGTCGGCCATTGATCAGTCCATCACGGACACCATCGAGGTCACATCATCATTCACGTGACACCTACTGGCACACGTCAAGTGCTCGCTCCCCCGACCACCACCACTGCCAATGTTTCTGTTCTGTTCTAGACAGTAAACAGCAACACAGGCAACAGATATGCTAGTCTCTGGGTCCAAGAGAGTTTGCTTGCTGGGAGTACATGGTGGCTAAGTAAGCCTTTGTTGTTCACACTTGTTCACCAATTGTGGGGTATGATTGGTGTCATCCAGGCAGTAAAATACACAAAGATGATTTCTGCGAAGTATTAACTGAGGTTGAGTAGGACTCCAGCATTTAGGTCTACAAGGTGGTACTTCTGCTACGCTCTCATGTGTTTCTATATTTCGAGTCATTTAATTGTACAGTTGTTTATTGGAATATTAATACAGATTTATTATTCAGTATTGTACAGCAGTATTTGAATATATGTGTGTTGCTTTATTGATATTTATGGTGTTTTCTGTTTCATGACGCTAATGTTCATGTAGTTAACATCTTACATAAAATGCTCTTATATATATACAGTATATATATATATATATATATATATATATATATATATATATATATATATATATATATATATATATATATATATATATATATATATATATTCTGAATGATGGATTGATGGGAAAAAAGACATTGCAAAAAAAGAAGACAAACATTGATAAGAATATGACGTAGTGAGTCTCAGAGAATCATTCCTTGTGAAAGAAGTAAGAAAATATTGTATACTGTACCGTACTGTACTGTACCGTACCGTACTGTACGGTACTGTACTGTACTGTACCGTACCGTACCGTACCGTACCGTACCGTACTGTACTGTACCGTACCGTACCGTACCGTACCGTACCGTACTGTACTGTATTGTACCGTACCGTACCGTACCGTACCGTACCGTACCGTACTGTACGTACGTACCGTACCGTACCGTACCGTACGTACCGTACCGTACCGTACTGTACCGTACCGTACCGTACTGTACTGTACTGTACCGTACCGTACCGTACCGTACTGTACCGTACCGTACCGTACTCTGGTAAAGCCAATACTGACCAGCAACTTTCTTTAATCTTAACTTTGGTGATCGGTTTCTTGCACTCTTATTTCCCTCCCTGATAAAAGTTTAATGTATAAATAATTTATGTAGAATCATGTTTTGTATACAGGAAGATGTGTCCTGAGATTACCCTAGATATTGTTTTGTTTTCTTAGAGGAATTCAGTGGATTGGTGGATAAACTTGAGGATATATAAATTGCTCAGGAATGCAGTGATTTGGCCAACTCTATATATGCTTCACTAAGCTTTCCATTATATTTTGAAATGTATTTTTAAATGAAGAACTCGTGTATGTATATAAATATGCATCATTTTTCAGTCATTCATAAAAGTTTAACCACTTACAAATCATTCATGAAACCATTTTAGCATTTCCAGAATGTTTACACTGTGACGCATTCCTTGTTCTGAAATGTATAGCTTGTGAGATGTTTATGTGAAGCTTGTTCTTCAGTCATTACCTGTGGTGAGTGTCGCTCTGGCCACAACATATCAAGCAGGCGGTGGAAACGAGACAGTGGTGTTGGTGCTATTTATTCAAAGTGGATATCCAATCTTGACCTCAGTCCTCCTACAGTGAGCTCTTGGTCAGAGTCCTCCACCAGTGAGGTTGGCCTCAAACCTCCACAAGTAAGCCTGGCCTCAAACCTCCACAAGTAAGCCTGGCCTCAAAACTCCACAAGTGAGCCTGGCCTCAAACCTCCACAAGTGGGCCTGGCTTCAAACCTCCACAAGTGAGCCTGATCTCAAATCTTCCATCAGTGAGCTTGGCCTCAAACCTCCACCAAACCGCGGAATTTTGGGTAGACCCGTGAAGCCCCAGGTGTTAGAGAGGTCCTGTGTGGGTGCTCATACCAGGCTGAGAATTAAAAAGGAAATTAAGTTTGTCTCGACTTATTGTAATGCGAGTTATGCTCACTGTTATTGTGCCTCGTGTGCCTGGCGTTGCGTGAGTCTTGAGTCAGCCTCCGTGAGTCTCCAACAGGACCTCAGAAGTGAATCCCTCCATGTACACATTCGAGTCTACATGTATGATCCATGTGATCTGGTCTCATCAGTAACATTATATGATGCATGTGATTTTACCTCACGAGTTGTGTATGTGGTCTTGCCTGATATGTCTACAGGTGTGATCCATGTATACTTTTGCCTCATGAGTCCCATATGTATTATGAATATAATCTTGCCTCGTGTAAAGAAAAAAGTAAAACAATTGAAGACTATTATATAAATGTCACAACCGCTAATCTAGTTTTTTAAAGGACACAAGTGCCATAAAGGCGTTCAGTTTGTAGATCTACCCCCAAAAAACACTGAAGCTTAAGTGTCATTTGTATCATACATGAGTGTCATACGAGTCGGCATAGTCTAGAGCTTACTGGCAGCCGGCCCACTCAAACGTCCCTGGCTCACCCACTCCCCCCTGATCATACAGTAAGATTTGTAGAAAACCTCTCCGAGGATCCCAGGTGAAGAAGGATGTCTGAAGGTGCTACTGAGCCGGCCTGTTAATGTTAGCGCACTTGTGTGAGCCAGGGGGCGTGAGGTGGGGTGGGCTAGCCTCGTCCGAACCCAAAGTCCATCCATGTGCCAACTGTTGCCCCCTCCCCTTCCTTCCCTCTCCTCCCTCCCCTTCCCTCCCTCTTCTCCCTCCCCTTCCCTCCCTCTTCTCCCTCCCCTTCCCTCCCTCTTCTCCCTCCCCTTCCCTCCCTCTTCTCCCTACCCTTCCCTTTTACTTGTCAGTTGTAGATCTATAATAATAATTCTCTAACCCTTTAGTATATCTAGTTACAACTCTTAACAGGTTTCTGACTTGGCTCCTTATAGTTGCTTCTACTCTTTTAGTGTTTCCTTTCTCATAGGACAACTAATTTGCATCTTAAATTTTCTCACCCTCAAGTAAGAGACTTAGAGATCTAGACTTTAGAACTCAGATACAAGAACATCTTTTTCCATGTCCTTCTTAGATTCTTTACTATGAGATCCCGACCGTGTTAACCTCCACTTTAAGTCCCATGTATTTTGTCAACATATCCCAGTACGAGGACCTCTGCCCTCTGGAGTGCTTCCCCCAAGTCCCTGACCTCTTGACCTGAGTGCTGTCCTTAGATCCCCGCAGTATTGGGTGCTGCCCTTAGGTCTTGCCTTCCTGAATGTTACCCATGATGCCCTCCTCCCTGTTTCCTTCAGTGTCATTCTTAGGTCCATGTCCAAATAGGAATGTCTTCTTTGACCAGCCTTTTGGATTACTACTCTTAGGTCCCATATCTCACAAGGCTGTCCTTTGGTTCTGCCCTTTCCTCTGGAGTACTGCCCTTAGGTACGTCCCTGCCTATAGATCATTGTCTTTGTTTCCTGCCCTCACGAGTACCAATCTTAGGTCCCATTCCTAAAGTGTGATGCCCTTAGGTACTTGCTTTTGGAGTGGTACCCTTAGGGTTCTGCCCTAATGGGGTGCTGCTCATTGGTCCCTGCCACCGGATCCTTCCCTCAATTTAGGTCCCTGGTAGTGGATCCTGTGCCGTCAGAATTTATTGTGAGAACCGACTTTCATTCACAAATTTCTTGTTAAATAACGTTTTCCTTTGCTTCCTTAGTCGAGTCAAAACATTTTTAGTATGATGTGATTTACATTTTGATAAATATAAACCAATAATGAAACTTACGGATAAAGTCTAACGTAAGTACACAACCCATTCAGTCATTATACAGTCTCTGTTTTAGCCACAGAAATATTGTGTCATGTTTTGGGGAGATATTTTTCCAATATTTTATGTCCGGTTTCCTTGGCTGTCCTCCGTGCTGAGCTCCCAGCCAGTGGTCCAGGGCTGTTGAGGGATCCCTTCTACTTTTTTCAATACTTGGCTAAGACATTCTCTCTCTCTCTCTCTCTCTCTCTCTCTCTCTCTCTCTCCAGTGGTCTTGGGATGCAGTCAAGTTCTTTCGCCCAGTGGTCCACTGGTGGCTTTCCGTGTCATGTACAATGTCTTTATAATGTGCATTATACAATGAATAAAATCTTTTGATTTACAGAGTATTTATTTTCCTTTATTATCATCGTTAATGTAATACAGTTCATCTGTTTTTTTAGATATTCAGTGAAACTATTGAGGAACAGTTTTGTATAATACAAGCTTTGTACCGAAGAGACACTTGCTATAATAATCAACACAAATCACGTATAAAGATGTTTCCACATGCTTGTTCTCTCTCAGCTACACTTGAGTATTTCCCATGCATCACAAGTGACTTCTCACTGAGTGCACACCTGCTCTGGGTTCCTCATTGTTTTCAGTCGTGAAGACCACAGCTGTACTGGCGCCATAACTCTGACAGTTACAGTATACTTACTGTACAGTATAGTGAACAGTTTCTATACGGTGGAACAAAACTTAACTCATGTTTCATTCTAACTTTAGGTTCACGATAATATTTCGTGTTGCCAACAAATGGTTGGACGAGATGTAAAGTTCTTGACCGCTGCGACGCGTCACAACTTAACAAATATTTTTTTTCTGCTCGCTTTATTCGATATGAACCAAATTAAGTTTTATTTCCTTGTAGTCTACATATAATCAGGAACTCAGATTCAGAAAGCTAAGAATCATAATCTCAAATATGTCGATACACTCAACTGTCTCCACACTGCACATCAGTAGCTTGCTGGCAACACTAATGGTCCAAGGTAAAATTGGACGACTTTAAGCAGTGGCCATAATTATCACGTTGTATAAAAGCCTCTTAAGTGATGGCTTCTCCATGATTTCCCGTTTCGTGTATTTCTTCAAGTAGTAGTTTTCTGTTTCAGACTTATTTTTTATATGAAAAATTTACATCGAGGACTGTCAAGAAATTTAATCAGGTTGTTGAAGAAAATGCTCCTATGCCATAACCTAACCCCAGCGTGATCCCAAGAGCTTGGTGGCAGTAAATATAGAGTAGTACATAAACACTAAGTTACATTTTAATTTAAAGTGATATTGGTCGATGATGAAGCATTAGCGGTGATAAACAGATCATAAACTGTAAAGGAAAGGTCTAGTTGAGAACAGTTAATCCGGGAACAACAATTTTTCTCTTTAAAAAATATAATTTTATTAAAAGTGGACATCAGACAATGTAGAAGGTAACTCATCCTTTGTTAATATTTAATTTCTGTAATACCAAGAAATTATTGAATCACACGAATATGGAATGACTCTACCTAGCAATGTTGAGAAACCCATAGATAGAAACTTCAGAGAAATATATACAAGAAGAGTGAAGCGTGCTGTTGACGTTTACACACACACGTAGCCTGGCTCTGGGTGAGGCACGTGAGTGAGCGCTGGGAACTGACACTTGGTGGTACTTAGCCCCGTTTATCGGGCAACAAACACTGCCAAAGTAAAACAAAGGTTGGTAGGTTACGTGTAGACTGCCGCTCAAAAAATGTGGAGGAGGGGAGGTAAAACATCTTTAGTCAAAACATACGTAGAGTCTACCTGTCAACAAGGGTTCACATTCGGGACAGCATAATTTGAATATGATAATGAAATCGACAACTCCAGCGGGTGGCGGCAGTATGTAAAGTGATAACTACCATTGTTTTCCTCTGTTCGTGTGTAACGCAAGTGTAACTGTTACATCACAGCCCCCTAGTGAACAATAAGGTCAAGGTCTTGAACTCGACATAAACTTATCCATTTCTACATTAGACGAAATTTGCCTTTATTCTTACCATACAAATTTGTGGAGATTGGAGCCAGGAGTTACTGTACATTCTGTGCAACACTCGGTACCAGCACTGAAGGAAGCCGAGTTAATGAGATGCTGTCCTCAAGACATCCTTAAGTACACTAGATGTTAATTCACAAGATGAGACTAGGAGAGTTATTTAACCACAATGAAAATTAGGGGGAGGAGGAGGAGGAGGAGGGGGATAATGACGTAACTACAGTAGCTCCTCAAATGTAATCTAATAATAAAAACCATCATATGTTTCCTACGATAGTGTTTGTAATGTAAGGCTACCAAAACTACTACACCAGACCAGACGCCCCCGGAACAGCAGTTGTGTCCTAAGTCTCAGACTAAAGAAAGCAGCTCGCCTGTCATCGTGAACTGGTCTGATCCCGTGTTCTACGACGACTCTGGCTACATCAACGGGGTGAGTGTACAGCGAGCGGGGCTCGTTCATGGCGGTCCCTTTGTCTTGCTCGGCCAGTGTTGGTTCAAAACACGAGGGCAATTTACGCCACATTTGCTTCGAGGAATATTTGGACAAATTGTTTCCTTAGAATCATCATGTCTCCAGTATGTAAAGCTCTTGTTTGCTTTAATCATTGATTTAAGAAGGTACCTGACCTCACATTGACTAACGTCTTGACTTCCTCCGTCACAGGTGGAGAGCAACTACCCAGCAGGGTCGGTCATGGGCTGGGGACAGCATCAGATGACCTACACTGCCTGGGACAATTCCACCAATTTTGGCACCTGTAGCTTCCTTGTCACCATCCTCGGATGTCCTTGCCACACTCTTGACCTGCCAGTCTACGGCGCTCTCGTCTGCCACGATAGTTACGCTGGCAGATTCTGTGTCTATGTGCGGCTCTGATACGGAATTCCAGGTTCCCCCTGAGCTGAACGTGCCAGGGGACTATTTGTGCTCCACCTCAGGCAACTGGTACCCTTATGAGTTTACTTACGACTGCCTGGAATCACAGGGACCCGTACCAGTCATGCCATCAGAATATTACTTTGATGGCTTGAGCAATGACACGTCTACTCAGGCAACGATTCAGGCCCAGGCTCTGAAGGTATTCAACGCTGCAGACGTCGACATAACGCTCGGGAGAGACCTTTCACCTGGTGACTTCTATGTTCGATGTGGACAGCACTATAATTAATGTGATTTAAAAACAAGAAAATCTCATTCAGAAAAAAATCCTTATTGTTAGCTTATCTGCGGATTGAGTTTGTTATGTAAGTTAGGGCACCATTTATACGTGTAGACGGTTAGTGCAAAGTACTCCTAAGTCTTTGGTCATAATATTGAGACACTTCTCTTAAAGATTTCTCCTAAAATCTCACCTCGGAGTCATATTGCTCGTGACTTAAGGTTTGTCTTTAGTTCTACCCTGCATTCTGACTTCTTCAACATGAATAATTACAATAACAAAGACTCCGGAGATAACATATGTCATTACATGTAGTGGAACTTCAGTTTTTGCTGTTTCCTGCCATGGAGGAGAGTACTGTACTCAGCACCACACGCCGCCGTAAAATGGCTCTCGTCTGTTTACACATTTTTAAGTAATAAAAATAGAAACTAGTGTATCGTCTCATCCCTTAAGAGTGCCCAGTGAATACCACCCGATGATCTGCTCCAGTAATATGTGAACAATGGATGAGTTAGATGCATTAACTATTAACTATATCCTTAAAGGCTGTCGGGGAAATACAATATATATATATATATATATATATATATATATATATATATATATATATATATATATATATATATATATATATATATATATATATATATATATATATATATATATATATATATATATATATTGAATACCACAAAATGAGCATTAGAGAACTTGTCACTAGAATAAGCCAGTGAGGGCTCAGAATATTTTTTAATTACAATATAGGATCTAAACACTTATGAATCACAACACTAGATGGCTCTGGTCACTAGTGGTAAGCCTGGTGACGTTTTTGTTTACTTTTCTCATTTGGTCTCAAAGTGAGTGGGGGTACAGTACACAGCGAGGAGCAGGGGGGGGCACTTGACTGTCTCGTAGGCTCCATAGCTGCTGGTATATAAGAAGCTGGTAAGTCTTATTCCACACCAGTGATTTATGGTGATTATCAAGTTTATTATAATTTTAAATACTTTAATTTTACACCAAAAAATGCAAGTTTATAAAAAAACTCCCAAGTCTGAAAACACGACCATTCAGAGGCCTCGCTAATCACCTGCTTGCATCTCGGAGTTCTGACAGCTAATGGTGTCCTATTACAAATGAATTGGCCGCAGGTAATTCGGTTGTGTAATAGGGCTTTGAAGTAGAGGGAAAATGTTGGGTAAAATACTAAAAAAAACGCATTAAACAAACCTAACTTAACCTATACAAATCCTAAAACTACAAACCACCTGAAGGGCCGCTGGTGCACTCTGATTTGTAGCCCATGGACTCTCTGTTTTTCGCAACTAAGATCATCAAGTGAAGTATTGCGGGTGTATTTGGTGTTGTTTCAAACGAATCTGACCTTTATTTCCGTCGTAAATGAGTCTTTATGGAGATACGACCCCTGGGCCCCAACCCAGTTACCAACAAAATCATGGAAGTTTAAAGTGGACAAGGCTTTGAAGTACTGTAGAGGGAAAATGTGGAGAAAAAATAAATAAATATCCCTGAGCTTTGTTTGAGTTCGAATTAATCACCAAGATTGATTTACTTAGTAGCTACAATATTGTGTTGTATTGATTAACTGCATTGTTATGGTGAACTTACAAGTGAAATTTCTTCGATCTCTTATAACCGAGGTGTAACACTGGTGCCTCGCTGGATCTACTGTAAGTTGATGACCAGCCAGCCACACGGTATTTGCCTTCAAGTTTCTTACATGTAACCAAGTATAACTGAGCGTGAACTGACTTTGTGTAATTATCGTGACTTAAAACTTGCATAGCATGTATGATTAGCGTAACACTCTTAATCTCTCAACCTAGCTTAACAGTTCATACTCTACATATTAAAGAATGTAAAATTTTCAGAAGAGCTCCACTAAGTTGTTAAGTTTATAAGAAGCTTAACATAAAAGTATTTTTAAATAATAATATTGGAGTAAAGAAAGTTACCGACCATAAAATCTGGAAGAAATTTTTTGGGCTCACACTGCTGCCTCCGCCGGAGCCTTTGGTGTTTAAATGAAGAACACAACGTGGTCTGGTTTTAACCAGAAACGGACAATTGACCATTATGTACGAAAGTTTGACAATTAGTGTTTCGTCCTGCTGAAATCAGATATTGTATATAATTCAATGATATTTGTTATTTAATTACACAACCTCTGAAATCGCGTGGGCAGTATCATCAAGTGAAGATTCCATTATTTCTCTTCGCCCTATTTTATCGTTACTTTTTTGTCTTCTAATTTTGATAAGCTGGCGGAGCTCTTCTGGAACTGGATAAATATTTCGTCCAGTGAATCGTGGGGCAATAGAGTAGGTGGGCGGCCAAGGCATCACTGACGAAACTGTAAACTTCCCCACTTCTTTACAGGTATCTAACGTTTCTGTGGACTTTCCCGACGAAGTTGGGGAACAATCTGGAAAAATGGAAATTTAACTCGGACATGAAGCCAAGACGTCCAGGTACTAAGTGGTGAGGAAGAACACTGGAACTACCCCCCTCCCTCCAGCAGGAGTCTGGTGAGTACAATAACAGAACTAAAAATGAATATAGACTTTATTCATTATTTGCACCATAGATCCTAAGACCTTATATTTGTCTCGGAAAAGGTCAAGTTTTCAGTATCCGTCGGCCAAATGCACACGTGACTGGCTTAGTTTGCACACGTCTAAAAAAGTAACTGGGCCTAAAATTTGTACAATGCCTTCTTTTGTGTGTTTGTCTATCTTCAGGTAATTATAAAGTATTTCTAAATCAGGTTGACTGACGTTGGAGCGTTAAGAGCGAGTGAAAGTTAGGAATGTGCAGAACAGTCACGATCCAAAGTTTGTATCCATGTCTGTCGTAGCTGGGGTCTATAGAACACTTGTTTTAGCTCCACGAAGGGAGTGATTAATGATGACTTCAAGACTCCATTATGATAATGGTTTTAGCCTGTTCAGTGCCCTTACACAGTCAAGTACTGATCCAAATTGAGCTAGTGTTTGACCTTCAAATAAACTCGGTTTTAGTTTTACCACACCTTGCTGCCATGATTTGTTAAACTGTCTTAAACGGGTGAACTATAATACACTTTTTTTTAGATAACAGAAATCCTGGGTTTTTTAAGTCATTTGTTTGGTTTCCCTTGCTGTAAGCGGTCGGGACTCGGGTATTCTATCCCATTTGTATTAAAAATTCTGCTGGGCGCTGATCAAACCCATCTGCTCTATGCTGCATTTTTACTTACTTATTACCTTAATATTGACTTCCTTTCCGGGTTTTTTACATCCACTATTCCAATACCGTTGTCTAGTTACTCTTCCCACCATCCGCCTGGTTTGTTTTGCTACGGATGGCTCTTATCTTCACTATTCGTCTCACCTCATATGTGTCATCTTCTTTGGTTTATTTCTTTCATCTCTCTGGACATATTTCTGCAGTTACATATAGACATTGTTTAGTGAGAAGAGAATCCCAAACTAAATAATATGGAGGCAGGACGTCGTGTTTGTGTAATGTGACCAAGTGTTTGTTAGTGTGTAGTGTTAAGTGTGAGTTAATAGTACGTCGTGTTTGTGTAATGTGGCCAAGTGTTTGTTAGTGTGTAGTGTTAAGTGTGAGTTAATAGTACGTCGCGTTTGTGTAATGTGACCAAGTGTTTGTTAGTGTGTAGTGTTAAGTGTGAGTTAATAGTACGTCGTGTTTGTGTAATGTGGCCAAGTGTTTGTTAGTGTGTAGTGTTAAGTGTGAGTTAATAGTACGTCGCGTTTGTGTAATGTGGCCAAGATGCTTCAGTGGTTTCTGGTGGTAGTTATGTTAGTTTATATGAAGCGGCAGAGATAAAACAAACAAGTATCATAAAGTCTGTGTTTTGGGAGAGCAACACCAAGGCAGAAGAAACTTGTTACAGCGAATAGAAACAAGGAATGATGTCACTGGAAGGGAGTCACTGTTCCTTCTTGGTTTCGTCTTCCAAACAATATAGCGAGACAAAAGGCTTTCAAGATTTTAAAAATAAAACCTGAAGGATTAATATAGATAGTCGTGTGGTTATTTAAAAGATTTATACGTAAAAACAATACAACTAACGTACAAAAACAAGGTAATGACTGTACACAATAAATATAAGGTTTAAAAGTCGCTGTATTCTGCGGGTGGTTGGCCTTGTCCACGCACCCCAGAACTCCGAGCTCCTCCCTGCTGGCGCCTAGTTGGAAGACGAACCCTCTCCCGAGCGACTGGTGCCTCAGAAACAGGTGCAGCCTCTACAGGAGCATTAACATCAGATAATTCCACCCCTGGCGCTACGATGATCTCTGCCTCGTCTGCGGCTGCTTGAGTTCTTCGACGAGGGAATTTAGGTCTCGTCCGCTGGGGACTTTGACGCTCTGGCTGGGATGGATCTGAAGCAACGTCTGCGGGCACTGCTTGGGTCACCCGGCGGTTACTAACAGGATTTCTCCTTGCATTGACACGAGCTGCGGTTATAGTTGTTGGCTCCTCAACAGGCGCCTCGGTAGTGGGCGCTTCTGTTCGCTCTGGACGATTTAGCCGCAACCTTGACCCTGTGCCGCGAGGTCTGTTGCGAGTGTTGGGAGCAGCGGTTGTTGTAGTCGAGGTTATATCATCAACATAGTCATAGTATTCATCATAATAGTAATCTGGCGCAACCTCAGTGGTTGTGGTGGTGGTGGTAGTAGTAGTAGGCTTCTTACGTCGTTGGTGATTCTTTGAATCGTTCTGACGATTTGGACGACGTCTGCGATCTCCAGATGGGGCGTCCTGTGGAACATCGTCGAAGATCTGTTCTCTAGGGTTGTTGGACTGCTGCAGGTGGGATGCTCGAGGGCCGTCGAATTCATCATACTGTGGCACAGGCGGGTTGATCCTCGGCCTCTGGCGTTCCCTAGCGTTAAATGGCCCACCCTGTCTGTCACCGTCACCCTGCTGGCCTGACCTTGGCCTGTTGGGACGACGACGACGCAGTGGCCTTCTCGTGGTCGTAGTTGTCGTGGTCTTTTCGTTCGTATAATCGTTATAGTAGTCATCGTAATACTGATCATCATAATAATCGTCGTAATAGTAATCGGGTGCTGCGGTGGTGGTGGTGGTGCGATGCTTACCGAAGGGGCGAGGACGGTTAGGACGCTTTGGGCGATTCCTGCCACCCAAAGGACGTGGCCTATTACCCGAAGGGCGAGGCCTGTCCACATAGATGATCTGAGGGGGAGGCGGGGGGACGGTGGTCGTTGTCGTGGTTTCATATAACTCCTCGTTCCTGTAAAAGAGAAATGTAGATGGATGAGTGGACCAGTGCTGAGCTGCACGCGACATTACAACCAGAGGCCGTCATTTCTCTTACCAAAGTTCATACACTCGTCGAATACATCAACTGTTTAATTGCTATAATGCTTAATGAGAGGGAGTCTTAATATTTTAATACTACTTAAGGACCTATTTAATAACACGCTAAACAGTTACAAGTAAAGCCTCATCTACACACTCTCTCGCGTATAATTTCCTAGACGCAGACATTTACGTCGTCAGGTTGGAAGACAAAGAAGAAAAGTAGACTGAAACTTACAACCTGAACCACTAGCAGTCCTTAAAACGTGACAGTAACGGCGGTTTGTCTTTAGTCTTTCTTGTCTGTAAATATCATGCACTGTTTAACGTAAATGAATAAATGCTATATGGTGAAAAATCTTGTGAACAGCGTTTAATGCATACTGGTACAACATCTCTACAAGTATTACCCTTCAGGCCAACTAATACGTTCAGCATCGTCTTCAGGTTTAGTTAGACGTTCATTAAAGTTTGTTAAATTTTACTTCAATGCTAATGGTACTTACTGAAGTGTTATATTCGGAGATAATATTAAAACAAGTTATTAACCCATTACCTCTTGATTAAATTTTACTTTTGTTCAGATAAACAATATGTAAGCTGAACATTAACCCTTCAGTCACTTGTGAAATAAATCATATGTACACGCCATAATAATGATAATGAAACAATATGTAAATAAAAAGATTAATAAGTTTTAAATATATTTAGAGGAAAATTGGCTAAAAAAAATAATGTCCGGACGAGTCTCGGTGATAGAAAATGGCGGCGTTGACAAACTCCGCCATCTTGGAGCACTGAAGACTTTGACCCAAGCATTGGCTACTTGAGTGAGTGAGAGTGCTCTGGTGAGTAGATGAGTAAATGCATGAGCAGTTGAGTACGTGGGTGAGGTGGTGAGAGTGATTTATCCACCTCCCTTCCGTCACTCGTCTGCTCTAGTCCCTTGAGGGTGAACGCCTGAGAGAGAGAGAGAGAGAGTATCCAGCTCCCTCTGGTTACTCACCTGCTATAATATTTCTCTGAGTTCGGGCAGTCTACCTCGCTGACGTAGTGGCAGATGAAGTTCTTCTGGTCGAACACCGTAAAGTTAGCGCACAGGAAGTCGTATCTCTGGCCGAAGAGACAGTTGTGGTATACCTGGGGAGGAGTGAGAGGGTGAGAGGGAGGAGAGCAAGGGAGGGAGAAGAGGGTGGGATGGAGGGAGGGAAGAGGGTGAGAGGAAGGAAGGAAGGGAGTAGTGGGTGACAGAGGAGAGGGGAGGTGAGAGAGGGGGAGGAGAGAGAAGGAAGGTGAGAGAGAGGAGGAGGTGAGAGAGAGGTGAGAGAGAGGGGAGGTGAGGAGAGAGAGGAGGAAGGTGAGAGAGGGAGGAAGGTGAGAGAGGGGAGGTGAGAGAGGGGAGGTGAGAGAGGGGGAGGTGAGAGAGAGAGAGAGAGAGGGGGGTGAGAGAGAGGGTTGTGAGAATTGGTTGTGACTTGTGAGAGAGAGTTGAGGAGATCCCTTGAAAGAGAAAGTGACAATGGACACTGGAAGGAAAGTAGCACAGAGAGAGAGAGAAAAAGCTGTAACTTTCTATCACTTACGCTGGGAACGAAGGATATAATAATAATAATAATAATAATAATAATATTAATAATGCAGTTATAACAGTAATAATTATAACTAAAAGAATTCAAATGGCTTCAATATCAATAAATCAACAAAATTTGGAATCATAATTATTAACAATCACTTCTGTCAATAAATGAAATAATAATGAGAAGTTGTGTTCTAAGCCCATCTTGTTGATCCTGGAAGTGAAGTATAAACCCCATAACAACAAGACGAAAGGTACTGAATTCTATGATATCTTGAGGGATGTTCTTCACGGTGATGCTCAGCTGGTCATGCACTAACTTATACTTAACCAAATGGAAACTCCTCTCCCACCAGCAGTCTTTAGGAGTTAGGATTCGTGTGTAGCCAGAAACAGGATTGTAGTGGCTTTGTGACTCCTTCCCTCGCGTATGTACTCACCAATGCCATTTTTTTGGGGGGGTTCTATAAGCGCTGTTAAACCTATAGAAGAGGTTCATGTCCACACACTGTGATAGTTTCGTGCCCCTTAGCGGAATGGGACTTGAAAATTTTATGCTGTCAAGTCTGTTAATACACCCGAGGCTCTGATACGGCTCTAACAAGTCCGCAAAATTGTATCCACTCACTGAAGACTCCTTAATTCATTTAGGTTAGATACAGTTTCGACCTGGAGTGTAGGGTAGAGGGACTTCCTGCCTGGTTTGAGGATCTGACAACAGTATCTAGGATGACTTCCTTATTCAGTTTCTTGTCGTCCTTATTTTTATTAGAACTACGTCCTTGTCCGTGTGTGTAGGAGACCTGCACTAAGGTGTTTGAGGTAGCAGCTTTTTTATGTTCTTGTTGCATATACAGTTGTGGTTTTCCAGCTGTCCTTTCCGTATATCCGCCCCATTCTGTTCTCTCTATATCCGCCACACTTTGCCCTCTCTCTATATCCGCCACACTTTGCCCTCTCTCTATATCCGCCCCATTCTGTTCTCTCTATATCCGCCACACTTTGCCCTCTCTCTATATCCGCCACACTTTGCCCTCTCTTTATATCCGCCACACACTGCCATCTCTGTATATCCGCCCCATTCTGTTCTCTCTCTATATCCGTCCCACCCTGCTCTCTCCGTATATCAGTCCCACCCTGCCCTCTCTCTTTTTCCGTCCCACTCGAGTTGTTTTGCACGATTATCTAAGAAGTCTCACTTAGATCACTGAAGTTTTATAGTTTTCTTTTAGGTGTCTTAGGATGAGTCGATTTGATTTCTCACTTCCTTTTATTTATTTTTGTCCTACGCGGTATTTTTATCTTTTGCAGAAAGTTGTTGGTAAGATTGAGCAGAAACAAAACAGTAAAGTGTGATGAAATCTGATGCTTCTTATGTGTTTATTATGTGGAGTTTGTTGTTTACACCTGTTAACCAACCTCCAGGTGCTGGCTCTCTTCCCTTATTATTACTACCATGTGTATGTGCTTATTAACACACACACACACACCAGTATAAACTGTTCACCTTCACCTCGGAGGGAAGGTCCCACACACACACATACACACCTGACACATATGAGGGATGGAGGCATAGAAGCCATCATGGCGGTTGTCGCAGGTGAAGTTGAACTTGGGATCGAGGAGATCTTTCGGGAGCCTGTTGAAGAAGGGATAGTTGCTAAGATCGTAACCAATAAGCTCGTGTGGCAGGTTAGGATCTAGAAGGTAATCTATTTGAGGGTTCCCCGTCAGTTTGGGTTTGTCATCTACCGGCTTCTCTTCGGCAGCAGGATCAGCGGCAGTAGAGTTGTCTTGGGCTGCTGCCAAGCAAGCCGCGAGTAACCCTGTAACAAGAACATTAATTAGTCGAGGAAGGTGATTGAAGATTAACGCTGACACGTTCTGGCGGTGAAATGAATTACTGAAAAACAGGTTGATGGCATACAGGGTGTGTGAGAGAGACTGGCTGACAGTGGGATAGTTTAATGGTGAAACAATACTTAAAGTTAGCAATGGTGAGATGATGGATGACGTGACAGGGTGGTTCAGCAGTAAGTAAAGGTGTATGAATGAATGTCAAGAGTTGGAGGGCGGGTTAAACATCACCAGCAACACAAAGACTACTTCACATGTTCACACTTTACTCTCACTCTGAACTTATCAACATTTCTTTTCTCTAATAAAAAAAAAGACTACACAATCTTACGTACATATCCATAACTCTAGTTTGCTGTCGTTACCTTACGAAATCTTTATTGCTGAACGGGACATAATGCACGCAAGAATCGGAGTGAAAGTGTGTTGACCTGAATCCATTTGTACCATTATGCTAGGGTGTGTTGGGTTGCCTCCTCGCTGTCCTGTTATAACTGGTCACTGAACTTGAGACTTTTTGCATTCTTGTAGATTTATGAACGCTGTACTGTTGCCTACCCTGAACCATGGCCAACTGACTATACTGAACCAACATGCATTAATTGTTTTACCTGATCCTTTCGTCTTGTTGGATACCTGTTACGAATTACCAGCAAAACACACACACACACACACACACACACACGGTTGCAGCGCTTGGAGGAGACCGGGTGAAGCAGAGGGCGCTTAGAGAGCAAAGATAGATGGAGTGAGTGACCGCGGTGATGAGACGATAAACAGAGACTACTCCTTGCGGTATCTCGACCTGCCTCAGTTTTGTCACCTCTTACACGCCCTCAAGAATGATGTGTTTTTCTTCGCGTCGAACCTGTGTTGATGGTTATTTTATCTTGATGTGATGTTGTGATTAACATTATTGACTTAACCAAGGAAGTTGTGGGGGGGGGGGGGCAAGAGACCCAGTGACGCCCGATAAAGAATATAAAGTAACGGGAGTCGCTTCAGGAGAGAGTCGGTGTGGGTGTTGTTTGTCAGCTGTGGTAAAAGGGCAAGATGACCAATGCAAGAAAAGTACCACGAACGAGACCTCTAAATCATGTGTTTACAAGATATTTCCTTTTTAAAGCAGATGACGGAAATCTAACCTAACTTAACCTATCCCAATCCAGTCTAACTTAACCCAACCCAATCTAACCCAGAGACCTTACGATAGTTTTGGTTAGGTTTCGTTAGTCTGTGTCTTGTGAAAAATAAATAGGCTTACGGCCCTGTACGTTTATTTATTTTTAGTGTCCACCTCAAAGGGAAAAAATCATCTTCAAATAAAAGGAACTGGCCAAACATTCATCACTAATTTACTTCTTTAAAAAATCGTTGAATGCCACCATATACCCAAACAGATTGTAAAATAAGTATCAGTAATGGAATAGGTGAATGACTAAGTGTATTTCGAAGACGAGATGGGCAGTGTAGGACATCAACTTGGCCAGAGGATTATGGTTTGTGTCGCCGAGGTTGTGAGGCGCGGACGGGGGGCGACCACTCAGTCACACGACACCCACTGGCCTCTCTGTTTAAAGTGTTGAGTGGTAAAATGGGTCCCAATCCCGGTAGGCCCCAGTACTAGTAGGCCCCACTACTAATAGGCCCCAGTACTAGTAGGCCCCAGTACTAATAGACCACAGTCTTATTGAGTTCCACAGATTATGAAAGGGGGTCCCAAGGTGTCCCAGTCTTATCTATAAGGTGTGATTGGGGAAGCCTCTTAGGACTGAAGCCCACACCACGCGCCATCATTTAGTTAAGACGCAGCGCGCACCTTAAGAACCTACTGGCTAAGTAAGGCCACGCCGTCAACAGAAGGTCGGCTCGAGTCATCACCATCACCTCCACTGCCAACCAGCCACGTACACGCTCTCGAAAGCAATACCAGACACACCTTCTCGCCTACCAATGTGGTACGGTTTGATAGTACCAGTAATTCGTCTAGGAACACAAGTCTTACATCTCTAGTAGTAGTCTCGTGTGTAGGCAAGGACAAGTTTATCTAGACACAACCGGTCAAATTCATCACGTAAAATACACAGGAAAATTCGTCTCTTATCCGTCACATTGTTCTCGTTGTATCAGTCCGCTATGTTCTGGTCTGTTTTCCCATAATGCATAAGTTTAGACTAAGGCTGTTCATGAGTTGCTTTTTAGCAGTTTAGTGAAGAGGTTTGTGTGACATAGAGGATCGTTTATACTATATTTATGAACTTATTCAAACCTCCACCTCCATCCACGTCTTCACCTGCACCTCCACCCTCACCTCCACCCACACTTGCACCTCCACCCCCATCTCTATCTATACCTCCTGCCTCACCTCCACTCACACTACCCAACTCCTCCAGCCATTCGGTCAAGTAACTGTACTTAAAGCCAACTGTTGTGGCACACACATCTGTCCTCCAACAGTCAACTGGTCAGGTAACTGTAACTTGGGGCTACACACCTGTCACTCACTCTGCTTCACTATCAGTCAATCAGTCAAATAACTGTACAGACAACTTGTGTTCTGACTTTCTTGTGTTATAACATTTGTATTATTCTTTTATTTATTTTATTCATTCTTTCATATATTATTTGTTAAATCAGTTTTTTTTTTTAAGCAAAGTTTACGGAGTGGTCCTGACTAATGTTGTCCCCTTCACTGGACACACACACACACACACACACACACTGTTATGTAAGGTTTAGTGGTGTTTTCCTGATGTTCTCTGTCCAGCTGAGGTAATCATCTTTCTCCTCTCCGTACTTCCTGCCAGCTGTTCCTTTGCAGCAGTCAGTAACTGGGCACACTTACGACTCAGCAGGTGGTTGGCTTGCTGCAGATGGTTCAGGATTAGGCCTATACTACGTTTTAACTTTACATAATTCAGATGGTTCTCTCTGCTACAGATGGTTCAGGATTAGGCCTATACTACGTTTTAACTTTACATATTTCAGGTGGTTCTCTTTGCTGTAGGTGGTTGGGTTTTGTACTACATGAGAACAGTTTGTACACGCTCAAGAGACTAAGGGTTAACCTGCAGCAGACTGACTCCCACACTTCGACATATGACAAGAGTTGTGTAATAAGAGCAACATCTAAACATTACGTCACTTAACTACCAGAAGAAACCGTAAATAAAGACTATAGACGTTAAGGGTGTGAGGTGGGTGTAATATCCACAGCACTCACCACAGTTTGCTCACTTACCGTCATGATAAACAGATGTATTGGGAACGTTGATGAAAGCTCGGCTATTTACGGCTTTATTACGACATATTATTAAGACTACGATACATTTTCGTGTTTTGTTTATTTCATATACTCGTACGATAACTTAATATCTGGAGTACGATACAATGTTATGGTGCAAAATTCACCCCATCAGTCTAGAAAGTTTGCCCATTGACACCATGGACACATCCAGCCAGGAATCTGATGGTTTGTGTTTTTAGCGTTATCAAATATTCCTCTCCCTTCATCAGTGTTTATGTCCAGGTTTGTGACACTGACGCCATGGATCTCCCCAAACAGGTTTAGTTTTACATCAGCACTGCAGTCATTAGAAATAAACTATTTTTTGTGCGTAGGGACTTTGCCATGGTCCTTTTTTCTCGAGAGAGAGAGAGAGAGAGAGAGAGAGAGAGAGAGAGAGAGAGAGATCGTCCGGTAACTTTCCCTCTCGCTACAGTAATAAGACACCACCAACTCCTGCCTCCACCTTGTAGTTCCTCGCTGATTCTTATAACCCAATACTCTTCAGTTCCTCCCTGGTGTTCCTGTGTTTCGTGACCCCGGTGGACAGTGGTCGACGGGACAAGGAATGAATATGGGGGGGGAAACAGCAGTAAATTGTACAGGGCAAACACACCAAACCAGGAAGCAATACACGAAAGTAAAAGCCATTCACTCTTGTATATACTCCTAAAGACCAAAGTTCCAGAGTGACGTACTTGTTAAGTCATATTTCACAGCGAGATATACCAGCCTTAAGTGTCATCTTACTGTACAACACATGAAGGAGACTCACACTCTTCCTGGCCAAGACCCGGAACTTCAATGTAATCGAAGATCATTTGGTCCGGTTTATGGATTATTTTTTCCCCCGTATCAAAAGGTTCAGTTAATCGGTAAGTTACAAACTGGAAATGCATCGGTTCAAGTCTACAGTTTAACTCTTGTCAGCGAGATGATGATGATGACGACGAATTGTAATATGTGCAGGAAGTGTCTGAGTGAGGAACACTGAAGGTAAACAAACTCCACCAGTACTAGAACACAGCCAGAACAGTGAAGAGAACACAGCCACACACAGCCAGAACAGTGAAGAGAACACAGCCACACACAGCCAGAACAGTGAAGAGAACACAGCCACACACAGCCAGAACAGTGAAGAGAACACAGCCAGAACAGTGAAGAGAACACAGCCACACACAGCCAGAACAGTGAAGAGAACACAGCCACACACAGCCAGAACAGTGAAGAGAACACAGCCACACACAGCCAGAACAGTGAAGCCACACACAGCACAGAACACCACACACAGCCAGAACAGTACAGTAAAGAGAACACAGCCACACACAGCCAGAACAGTGAAGAGAACACAGCCAGAACAGTGAAGAGAACACAGCCACACACTGCCAGAACAGTAAAGAGAACACAGCCAGAACAGTGAAGAGAGAACAGTGAAATAACCCAGACCAGCAGAAGACATGAACATCTCAACAACAATCGACAGTGAAACAAGACCAGTAAAATTAGATTAATTTCACCAGTGGACCCTTAAGAGACCACACGCCTACCCGTTCAGTAAAAGGTGAGCGACGACACTGCTATTGTCAGGAAGAGAGAAGACGTTTTGGGTTCACCCCTGAAGAGCAGAACATTAAGAGAGCCATTAAGCGGACAATAACTAATAAGAAGCCAGACACGTGAAGATTATGGCTGTAATGGAACGGATGGAACCTGGCAGACGGTGGTAACAACGCTCCCACCGTGACTACATGATCGTGTGTACACGAGTGAAAGTGACTTGTGTGCATGCTAGAAGCTGTGTGTGCTCCTTAGACACACACACACACACACACACACACACACACACAGAAAACCCCATCCCTTATGAATGAAGTCTATTCAGATCTTTTGTTCAGATACTGACTTACGAACTAATACGAGACGATGCCTTAGTCCCAACCAAGAACTCAACATAACTTGACCTGAGACAACTTGCCCGTCTGTATAAACACATACAATAAACCTTACCACCTTGTGTTCTCTGTGTAGATACTAATGTGTCGAGAAATATTTAAAAAAAAATGGGGGGTATTCTATCCAGACAGACTCGATATAATTTAATCCGAGACAAACTGTCCCTTACCCATCTGCTATCCTCACTCCTCCACCGGTGTCCCGAGCAGTTCTACCTGACACACCCATTGTTGCAACCAGTTGAGGGCGGCCGGAAGGGAGGTGCCTACAGCGTCTACTGAGGCAAGGACCTCGACCCTCTAGCGCCGCCCACCATACAGCACTAACAAAAACACCAAAGCGGCCTGGGAGTGTTAGCCTAGCCTGCCTGGTACCTACCACAATTACCTGTACAATTCCCTCACTTGACTGTCGATGTTTAGGTTTCATGCCAAATGGATCTGTCACCAATAGTAGTGGAACCCGTTAGGAATGGCACCCATTTGACCAGTCACCTTCAAGTAGCCTCCTGAGGCTCCGACTCGTGCTCAGTCAACCAAAGGGCACAATCTGTCCCCGAATTCCTCCCTGCTGCAACTTACTCCTCACAGTCACCTACAGTTCCTCAATACCCGCGTTTTGTGACCATCATTGCAGGGTCAGTACAGTGAAACCCTCACACAAGCTATTCGTAATGTTTACTTCGGTCAGACATTTCGTCACTTGTTATCGTTACCCCTAAAAGCAAGTCCGAAGCATTGACAAGTCACTTAACCAGGTTATCAATCAGTCCACACAGGGGCGAGGGTTTTTAGCTGCACCAATAATTTTATTGTCCCCTGAGAATACTTCCCATCCGTGAGTTGGAGAAGTGAGCGAGATAAATAGAAATGGATCTCGGATTAATGTAGTGCAGTATATAAAAATAAGTCTCTCTCTGATGTGTTGGGCACTATATCCCTCTTGTTCTGATGAGTTAAGGTTATATATATATCCCGATGTGTAGGGAAACTGAGGAGGGTTCACCTCTTACCTGCGTGTACAGCACAGTATTATATTAACTGTGGCAGTCAAGTGATTTATGACGTTCACAGTGGCTGTCGCCTGACACACACACACACACACACACACTAGCTATGCGGGCGGGCGCATCTTTGTCTTTTGGCCTATCACACTTTATATACGTAAAAAATAACCTGATAATACTGCCGCAACACACTGTTGCAATACACTGTGGGCCGTGAGTACTGTACAGGCAGGTAACACCCGGGTCGTCTGTAGTTCCCCGTCTCACTCTCTCCACCTTCATCATCAAACACTAACCACATAAGCGGAGAACTTAGATTAAATATTGTTAATCTGGCCAGTTTGTTGATGATACGATGTGGAAGATAGAACAATATACTGTACGTGTTCAATGTCGTTCTCCCTTTAAAGCACCAACTTTTAAAGCCGGTTGATCCTGACATGAAAATATCGTAGGTCAGATGTAAACACCTGACAAGTTCTAAGGGAAGCGGCCCTCCTGTTGATTGGTTATGTAACTTTTTTCATGCTGTTGACATAGTAGTTATGATCACCATCCACGGTGACGGGGAAGGAGTCATTCACAATAATTAGACTGCTACAGCTGCCTCAATGTTACTTCCTGGTGCCCGTGTTGTCCCAGGTAAAACTAGTCCACCTGGTTGAGGCATCATACGGGAAGGTCACCTGACAGCAGGAAGGAGACATTCTTTACATACTGTACTCCCAAGACGAGGTTGTAACGGAGGCTTAACCTTAAGAAAATGTCAGAGTTTACTTGATATTTGATGTTTTAAATGCGTGTCCTTTATATCATGACATAATTAACTTTACACTGTGACTGTTATTTACTGTACCTCAGACTGTCGGTCAGTACAGTACTGTGCTGATGGTTGGTATTACTACATCGTATAAAGAAATTGCTTCATTTTTTGTTACAGAAGCTGAAATTGTCTGAGGACTGGGGGATCATACAACAAGTAGTCCTTAAGACTCTGGTTCTTTGAAGCTTACAGCCATGATTGAAGAACTGTTGAACGTGTGGAGTGCCATGCTAGAGTATTTCTCTGAAGTTTGGGAGACCGTGATGGAAGGCCTCTTTGATTCTTGGATGACAGTACTTCAAGAAATCAATGGGGATTGTAGAGCTGTGCTTCTAGACTTCCCTGAGGACTGGAGGCATACATACCAAGAATTGGTACATCTCTGTGATTTTGTACATAATGAACTGTATGACACCTGGGAGTATACACATCATCAACTGTTTGAGACCTGGGCTATTACACTACGACCATTGTCTGAGATCTGGAGGTTCATCCCTGAAGAACTGCTCGAAGCCTGGAGGTCTGAATCTCGAGAACTGAATGACTCGTGGATTCTCATGCTGGAAAATCTCTCTCAGGGTTGGGTCACCAGGCTTCACCAACTGCTTGAGACGTGGGATTCAATTTGTGCTGGTCTTTTTGACGAACTGGGTAACTTTATTAAAGTTAAAATATGTAAAAAATAAAATGTTGTCGTATGAGCAGCGAAATTATCAAACAACAAATCTAGCGAATCAGAATCGATAATCCACCTAACACAGCCACACTGGGCGGGGTGTTGTTAGGAGTCGAGTTACTCTTTCAGAGATTGTATTAGCTTGAGTGTAGTTCCCTTGATTAAGCTTAGGAGGCAAACTTAGTTTTTTTATTTAGAAACAGCAAAAAGGAAAATGTTAAGTTAAAGTTAATTGCTGTAAAACAAAAAGAAAAGAAAATGGTTGTGTTCGCCATAATACTAGTTTTTGCACTCAGTCAGCCGGGCAGCGTGTTCGAGTCAGTCCGTCGTTGGCAGGGGCCCAGAGGTTACACCATGAAGGCTTTGTTATACTGTACACACCGAATACTGAAAAACTGATGCGGAAATTCAACTGGTAGAATGTAACCTTCGTCTTAAGAGATCATTCTTTTTCTTAAAACTTGTGAGATCTTCCTCCCATGTGTGATACTCAAGTGGTGAAATAAATTACTCGAGTATTGTACCTACCTGCCTGCCTGCCTGCCCACAACAACCACGTCCACCAGAGTAATTATTCCTTCTAAATGCTGTATTTTATTACATGCGACTGTTTTATCTTTGGAGTTAACACGAATTTTTTGTGTCAGTTACTTTTTAACTTTTAATGATGCAGGTGTAAATTGATGAATATTTAAACACCTTAAAACTAATGTTGTGTCTTCCTACGAACACATGAACACACACACACACACACACACACACACACACACACACACACACACGCGCGCGCGCACTATTCGGAGAAGCTACACACGATTACAGTGTTTAGTGATGTCAGTCTTACAGTGCTTAATTAAAGGGGTAGATACCAAGGTCTAGCACTGGTTACCTTCACAGTTAAGTACACTTCCTGGAGAGACTTGAGGAACAATGGTCGTATACTACTGTGCCTGTACACCCCAAGACCACCTCAGGCACGACCTTCACGACTTGTACTACACTAGTCTTGGTGCATTACTCACTCCAACAATAAATTTACGTAACTTTTTTTTTCACTTTTACAGCTATAAAAGTTTCCAACACAGTGATGTATGACGATGAAGAGATGTCACGTGTGTGGTAAATATGTTACTTACAATAAATTATGAAGGAATATATGTTTGGTGACTCTTTTATACCTTGTACCTTCTACTGTACTTGTGCTGCGCTGCATGTTACAAGCACCAACATTATAACGTGAAGGTCCAGTAGGAATCACTAAACTGGTGCTTCCTATAAGTAACGCGATCTGGCTGAGGGAGAATGTTGGTGAGCTGTCTGTAGGTGAACGCTTAACTGTAGGAAACGTAGATATATATTTTTGCAGTGTCTTATCCACGTAGGCTACAGTAAAGAGTGAGTGTTACACGCACTCTTACACACGCATTGACAGAGAAGTACCGAATTAAGTATTTTGCTGTGTCAAAGAAGCCCTCCCGTCCCTGACCACCACCACCATCACACGTCCCAGGAGTTAATCAGATCCCAAGAGAATCATCATCAGCCGCTCTACAGGTCCCCGCGGAGCTCTCACGGGCTTACCATTGGTTTAACAAGTCTCCCACAGACTCCTCAAAGGTTCCCTGCCGGTCCCCACAGACATCCTATAACACTGAACCACGTCCCTACAGGTCCCCAAACGTCCTTTACAGTAAACGGAGAGATCAAAGGAGTGGTGTGTCGAGCGTCAAGGCGCATGATCCACATTCCTTCGGGTGCCAAGAGCAGGTTGTTGAACTCTGGTTGTAAAGTGAATATATTTAACGTTTACGTGCATGCGTGTGTGTAAGTGCAACAGCAGGGATGGAGCAGGTGAAGCAGCAGGGAAAGGACAGGTGCTGCAGCAGGGAAGGGACAGGTGCAGCAGCAGGGAAGGGACAGGTGCAGCAGCAGGGAAGGGACAGCAGCAGCAGCAGGGAAAGGACAGGTGCTGCAGCAGGGAAGGGACAGGTGCAGCAGCAGGACTTCATCGCTGTGTTGTGCAGTAAACCAGGAGAAAGTTGACCTGTTGATAGTAGCAGTGATGATAATGAGGGAAGGGCCGGCACAGGTATGGGTGAAGGGGAGAGCGTATGTCAAGGTAGTAAGCGACGGGGCAAGTGTTGTGACGGATGGTCTAAAGTGGCGAAAAGGTGTTGTGACGCAAACAAGTAAATGAAGGTCTACTGTATTGTGTTGTGATGGGAAGGATTTTGTGAAGGTGTTGATTCGCAAAACTATTATGGTTAGATTAGGTTATGACGGGAGGGAGCTTTATAACATTAAGAGACCATGGGGAGGGTGTTATGGGGGGTAAAAGGGGGTGAGGGGTGATGAGGAACAAGGGGGAGTGATGGTGGTGGCGGCGGCGGCGGCGAGAGAGTAAGACAGGAGGCGTGACCGGTCAGATGGGTCCTTAGTCCTAATAGCCGTTGATCTGATTTGTTGGTTGATGAAGACTGAGGACTTGACCAGAAGGAAGGAGTAGGATAAAGAATTTCATCTTGTACTTTGTTCCTTATTTTCTTACGTAGACTTAAGCCTTCGTGTATACAGATGCGTATTGAGGAAGACATTGTAACGAAGGGCAGCCTAATTGAGCCATAATGGTTGGTTTACATTGGGGCCTATTTGTACTGGGGCCCATTCGACTGGTAACAAGCTGTACACGGGGTGCCCTGTGGTCGATGATAACGTCATTGAACAATGGTGGCGTTGTCTTGTGAAGGAAAATATTTGAAGAAAAAAAACATCACATTCTCAGTCATTACATGAATCAAAAAACACAAATTGCTCCTGAATTATCAGCTGCACCAACAGTTATTACCGGCATTATATCATCTCCAGCACGAGTAGTTATTAGTCAGATTTATTCATATAATGATCCTCGAGGCAAGGTAAACTCTTCAGTGTTTACATTTCCTTCCCAAGACTTCACTGCGAGCCTCCAGCTGCCTCTGTGTGGTCACCTTCAGCAGCCACGTCGAGGCGACACTGAGCAAGGTTCATGACCCAGGGGCGATAATATATACACACTCGTAGGACATTGGAGAAGCCGTAGCATAATGATAACTTTGACCTAACCTAACTTTACCTAGCCTAACCTAACCTAACTTAACTTAACTTTACCTAGCCTAATAATCGCTTTATCATACTAACTTTTAGCCAAACTTAACTCAACTTAGCCCTAAATTCAACACTTAATTCGAATCTGGATAAGAAATCGGTTCCACAAAAAAAAGAATGACTTGACTTTTCCTTAAGCAATACACACAGAAAACAAATGAAAAGTGAACATGAGTTAGTGCACCACCATCTCTACAGCCTGGCTCAGTATTGGTCACTATAGATCCGGTTTGGTGGGCTCCACTGTTCCCAGAATTTCCGGCAACTTACACCACCACCACATCGGTCACCTTATCCACGAGGAAGGACAACCGGTGGGACACGCACACGGTTGCAGCGCTTGGAGACCGGGTGAAGCAGAGGGCGCTTAGGGGGCAAAGATAATGGTGAGTGACAGCGGTGATGAGACGATAAACAGACACAGAGAGAGAGAGAGAGAGAGAAGGAAAACCATTGACCTTTAGGAGTGACTAATGCAAAAAGAAAATTACAAAAATGTGAATATCTATCGAGCTTGAGAGAACACGGAAAATAGACAGAATAACATAAACAAAATAATAACAATAACCTTATTGAATGACTCCTTTCTTAAATATTTGACAAGGAAAAATAATAAATAAAAACGAGCCGAAACGTAATTAAAGGAATGGAATACATCCCTCGTGACGTTTATAAACCCTTTCTTATTTTACCTGTTGATTAAACACCACAATGTTAATCTAACTAAAAAATACACCAATGAAAATTAGGAAGAAACGAAATTGTCGTAGTCCAGGGGCGGCGAGTGACTGAAGACGATTAACGGATGGTAAGTGACGGAGACGAGTAACAAGGGAAGCAAGAAACGGGAAGCGAATGATTGACAAATGCGACGAAAATGACTTATTATTCAAGAAAATGAGTTGAATAATGACTCCGTAAATTTCACTCAGAAAATGAATAGTGAAGATAGTTGAACAAAGTGAAGGGACATGGAGGGGATCAGGAGCCACAGTGACCTTGGACGGACCTCAGTGAAAGTGACAGGCAGGGGTGGCTTAAACAAATTACTTTACCAAATTTCACCCTACGCGGAGGTGATCATTTTCTTAAGTGTTTTAACAAAAAATAAGGGTTAATATTATTATTATTATTATTTTACTATCATTATCCTTATGTTTATTATTATCATTAGATACTTTGAAAAACATCAGTATATATTAGGTAATTTTCTCACGCCATTTTATGCATTGAACATGAAAATATAAATAATTCCGTCACACACCTTAAACACGGGGACTCAGCGCCGTGTGTGTGAACATTCTTTCTCCCGGTAAAACTCCCACAATTTACCTGAATGTTAATTACCTAACTATCACTCGCACTTTTTAACCGTCCTAATAATGTGAAAATATATGAAAAGAATATGAGAGATTTGTGAAATTTCAATTGCCTTAAAGAGTGAGACGAAATAAAGATTAAAAGAAAACGTAAATTTTGAAGTTTCGACGAGAAGGGAACTCAACCAGTGTGTGTTGGTGAAAGGTGCCGTGAGAACCACCGCACGTTATGACACGGTAGGTGCCGGACGCGGGTTTATGTATGACGAATTACCGATAGACACATGTGGAGTTATGCAGGAGGGCGAGAGTGGCAGATCCCCCACACAGACCTCAACACCAGAGAAAGTTATCATCTTCAGGGAAAGTTCAGTGGTGATCCTCCCACCGCCAGCCACTACCTGGGAGTGTTGATGGTGGCGGTGTTTACACGAGTTATTCTCTTCTTTTTTTTATCCATCCCTTCCCCCCCCCCCCTTTTTCCTCCTTTAAGTCTATCGTCTTTATTTACTCTCCCACCTTAGCGTCAAGAAAACATTACAACAAGTACAGCTT